ATCTAGTGGGCCGAAAAGATTGCGGAGATTGACAAGGTTTTGTGCACAAAAAAACGTTACCCTTTTTCACATGCAGGGATTTATTGTCACTGGTTCCCAGATGGGTCCACTCGAGGCTGCACAAAGGAAACCCACACAATCTGCTTCTAATTAGAGGCATTCATTGGTTCTCTGGTTCTATCTGGCTGACTCACTGATTCTACAATAGAGGAAGGAAACATCTTTTTGAGGAGTTGTGCAGTGGACAGATGAGATTATTCAAGATTATTTTTCAAGGTGCACTTTTGTAACTAATCAGCAGCAGCCTCTTGTTAAATGTAAACCATAACAGCTACTATTAACATGCACCAACATCCTTTGGGGCCAAAAATCTGGTATAATACCTTCAGTACTTCCTCCTGTCTTGTCAGAGTGGTCTCATTTTTGAACATACATGCCCACTTTGGCAAAGTCGGGCCTTTTGGTAAGAACAAAGAAAGCTCTTGTATTTGAAGGGGACTAAAATCCTACTTATAACTTGGCGATTGGAGAAAACATGCTCCTCTTTCTCACTGCCCTTGGGCCACAGGCTGCAGAATATCTCAGTGACTCATTTCAGTTGACTAGATTGATGACTGTGCCACAGTATGCTAGGTTATGTTGTGGTGTATAGGCGTTGAAACACAGGTTCACGTGTGTGAATACATCTGAAAGCCAGCTGCTTCTGAAGGAAAATGCTTTTTGGGCTTCAACTTAGTTATTTTCATTATCAGTGATTCTGTCTTTCATGATTGATTGATAATTGTTTAGTCTAAGAAAATGGTGAAATATGTCCATCATAGGTTCCTATAGCTGTAAGCGATGTCTTAAAATAATAATGATTTAATTTACAATGATATAAAATTGACAAAAGCAGCTAATTCTTATATTTTTAGATGCTGCAAAATAAACAGCAAGTTAACATTTCAGCATTTTTCCTCACTAAATGTCTGTAATTAAAAAGAATTACTAATTTAATTCAATAAAATGAATCAAATATCAAAATTGTTGACTATTAATTTTGTAGTAGACGATTGCTGCAGCCTGAAACAGACCACAGTTGTAACCCAGGTCTAATTTTAAATGACCAGTACACAGCCAGAGAAAACATTGCCTGAGCTTTTATTATAAAGCTGGAAATATCATGAGCTGCTTATTTTTTTAAGGCCTCACCACTATCCCAAAATATGCTGCTGTGGCACTTGTCTGTTCAGTTATCCCTTGTAGCTGCAGTATATTATACTCTCAGCCTCTGAGAATATCAGGAGTAGCCACAGTGTGTGGTTGTAATTATTTGGGCCTAAAAAAGCTCTGCGTTCTCCTCACTGCCCTGTAAAGACCTCCGGCTCTGTTTGAGGAACAAAGGAGACGAGGGAGACTAGCATTTTTTTGAAGATTAACTTTTTAAGGAGCTGTATGGTAATAGGCCAGCTCAGTTTGTATAAGTGGCCCAACCCACTAACCAGTGGTTGCTTGGTAACCAACTGTTGAGCAGGTTATGAATTGTTGTTGCCTTTCACAGTGGCTCGACCTTGTGGCTGTTCAAATGACATGTTAAATTGATAAAATCATGTCGTCAGCCACATGTTGTGTTACAGACACTCTGATGTAAAGGGCAGGTGCGTTATTTGTTCCCATCAGTGTGTCTAACCACAGTATGACTTGCTTATCATTATTGTAGACACAGAGAATGTGTCTGTAGAATATTTTGCTATTATAATATTTTTACAGTGTTAAAGGGTGAGTTCAGCATTTTTCAACCTGGACCCTATTTTCCCATGTTTTTGTGTGACTAATGGAAACAACAGTTTTTTTAAAAAATTGGTGCAGTATTGAGCGAGATTGAAGATGGCAGCAGCAAAACAGGCTGCAATATAACCATGTCCATTTTTGCACTGTGAAATTCAAGTCCACTAAAGCCCTGTTTCCACTGAACAGTACAGTACAGTTCAGTTTGGTGGTTTTTCACTGTGAAAAGTTGTGGATGGTACCAATGGAACCATTTCGTACCGTCCCCATTTTTGGTCCCCCCTCTGTTGGGGTACCTAGCACACAGATCTGGTACTCAAAGGTGGAGCTGTGAACACTGCAGTCTGTTGATTGGTCAGTAGAGGACGGTCACTCTGCTCAGGGCTGAGTTGTGGCTGGTTTTGAGGCTCATGTAACCACTGTTCATACCGTGGAGAGTTTTACATATATCCGTAAGCTGTAACTATAAAATGAAATGTTGTTTTGCTGCCTCTCACAGCAGCTGGAGTCGTGAGAAAAACATTTTTTTTTCCACTGGGCTGAGTGCCGGCGACTTTTACGGTGGAGTGTTTACTTGTAATGTTACTCAATACTAGGGCTGCACCCAAATATTCAGATATTCGAATATTCGTTTCTATGGGTAGGTATTCGTTATGAAAATTTGGTATTCGATATTCATTTTTTTTATTTACTTTTTTTTTTTTTAACATATTTTTTTGGTGCTAAATGTAGTTTTTTTGTTGTTGGTAAATGTAGGTTATCAATAAAAATCAAAACTTTTAAAGTGCGTTGTTAAAAATGTGAAAATATAGTATCGCCTACCAACTGAGCTTGTGCGCACGGCACGCTTGAGCGCATCCGTCTGAGGCTGTGGATCAATGCCAAGTTTTACCACTTTATCACTATTCCCTCTAACTTGTAGCTGTTTTTTTGTTATCTTTTGAATTTAATATGAATTATGGAACCGTTTTTGTCAACTTTTGTTTCCCCCATTTTGTACAATAAATTATTGTTTAAAGTTTCAACAAGTTTGAACCCCCCATGAACGAATATTCGAATATTCGTTATAAATTCTGACGAAGGTCCGAATGTTAAAAAATGGTATTCGGGACAGCCCTACTCAATACATGGGTTGATGATGTGAATCCCTCATCACACCTTAAATTTCACTGTGACAAGTTTAACCGTTACTTTACATGCATGTATTCTAATCCTCACTTGGAGAAAGTCATTCCTGTGAGTTTTGGCAACACTAAACCCCTGAGCTTGCCTGAGAAGGACTAAATGCACAAACCCCGCTATTTTTAAATATCCCATGGAGAGAGACTCTCACTGCAGCCGGTTTTATTTTGTTCAGAAAATGTCGGAATGCAGCCTCGTGCTGTGGATGATAAATGTGGTGCGGACTGATAAACTGATAGACTGATAAAAATACAGCTGATACTTGATGGAGCAGTGAGTGACAACAACCCCGCCCACATTTAAGAGTACTGTTTGTGGTGGAAATGCTAGGGCCTAGGTACAGTCTGAAGGGTTACTGTTGGTTCCAAAGGTACCATACTGAAAGTGTTTGGTGGAAAAGGGGCTTAAAAGTGCTTGTTTTTGCCGCTGATATGTTTGACAGCTTATGGAAAGTGTCCCTATAGAGATGGACCTTTTTGTTAATGAGTAAGATCCTTTTTGCTTAAGGAGAAACAACCCCAAAATCCCTATCGTCAATACCACCAGACTCCAAATAATAAAAATGAAACAGTAATTTAATCACCCTAAAACACGCTTCATTTAAAGTCAACAGAAACAAAATGAAACTCACCAAAAACGTCTTTGTTCAACTTGCCACTGTTCCAACAATCACCAGCTCTGGTTTGGTTTGAAAAAACCCTACTTTACTGAGATAGATGTGAAAATATTCTGCCTCTATACACACTAAAAATTGTTTTGCCCATTAGTCACTTAGACACAAAAATATGGGATAATAGGGTGCACGTTGAAAAATACCAAACTTACCCTTCAACCCTTGAAGACATGAAAAGATCACCAAGTGGTCACTTAGATAAGATGTCTTGTTTTCATACTGTATTTCTGTGGCTGCAGAGATTGTAGAATGATGAGACTCCAGTCGTTTGTAACCCATGCATGCTCAGGATGGAGTCAGATCAAGTCAGAGCTGTATGAAAAATGCATCAAGGTAATGTTGGCCCGGTGGCTGTATGTTCAGCTGAGAATGTTGCTGCTACTGCTGACGTCGGTGCTCTGCCAGATGTTGTGATTAAAAGTCATAATATGCAATTTTTCTCCATGGGTTGAAATGATAAATTGATTAAATGCTACAATTTTCTTTTTTTGCAGAGACGTCATACCATCAAGCATAATAAATTGCGTGAAATTAAAAACAGAACAGCACAGTGTGTTGCAGGATGGACTCCCTTTGTATACCATGTGCACATTGCTCAGACTCTGCAGATGCTGGTTACCTCAGCATCAGGCTGCCAGAGGAAAAATGCTCATTGAGATGAATGATAAAGGAGATAAATAATGTTATTACGGGCTGTCAGTCTGCAGAATAGCAGTGCACTTGTTGTCTCAAGGTACAAATTTGCACGTTGCATCTTTGAGACAGGTGATTTGCGGTATGAAAGGTGGTGCTTTGCTATGATTATGACAAAAAATGAGTTATAAGAGAGAGCGATTTGGTAAAGAAGGAGTAAAACTGAGAATAGGTAGAAAGGGTGAGATGGTGGATTGATGGGGAAGAATGCTGGGGACAGGAGCAGCAGAGGTTGGAGAGAAGGAGAGGAGGTCTTGACAGGCTTGTGGTAGCTTGCAGTTGTTGTAGAAAGATAAGAACAGCACCTGCTTTGATTGGTAAATGGCTCAGTATCTCAGACTGACTCACATTTAGTCAGCCTCCATGTCAACCCTTCCTCCTGCCCTTTCTATCTCTTGACATTTCTCCTTCCCCCTCACCATTTCACCCCTGCCAGACACCTCGCTAGGGAAATCACTGTCTACTGGCACATCCCTCTCAAGTTGAAGCCTGTTTTTTAGCAGATTTACCAGCCCTCCTTCTGTCTCTCTGCAGCCAGGCCTTTTCTGTTTCTCCCCCGTGGCCATCATTACAAGAGGTTGTGTCTACCACGGGCAGCACAGCGGTGCTGCACCATCAGCACCTTTTGATACACATTGCATCAAACGTTAACCTAAATGTCAACTCTCTCTTTTTTTCCTCCTAGGCCGCAGAGTCTGGCATTGTGAAGATTAAGACCATTGCAGCCAGGAATACAGACATACTGGCAGGTGAGAAAGTGAGAATGGTGGTGGTGGTGGTGGTTAACCACAACTGAGATATCTAATTACCACTTTGTCAGAGCGTGCGCTTCACTCTGATTTGAAATGATGATTTCCCACAGCTTATTGTATGACTTCAGATTGAATTTGATCACGTTATTAAGATTATTCTTGAAAGTATTTCTGCCAGAAAGCCCTCTCTGGAATAAATATTTTCATTTTAACCCAAACCATCATCTTCCTCATGAAACTTCTATCTTAAAGCCCTGAAGACAAAACGTCTCCCAACAGCCATAAAACACAGATTAACAACAGCATTGTTTAACAAAAGTATCACATTCAGCTCAGTAAGAAGTGTCAAGGCTCAACAGTTGTTTGTTGCTAGTCACACATTATCAGCTCATGCATGTTTACATTGCATAAATTAGACTAGCGGCAAGCAGACTTTTTTGTCTCTTCTCATAGTTTAACAGATTACATTTAATGTTGTTATTTTTCTTACTCACCGTTGGTTTATGTCGCTGCATCTCCCGACAGAACAGCACGGTTGAGTTTTAGTCTGCGCGCATGTTTTGTCAGACTGACATTGTTGAAACAGAGAAGCTAATGATAAAGTTAACGGAGTGAGATGCACGGCCAGGCAGGTAACGTTACGTCGTGTTTTATCTCGTAACATCATTGTTTACATACGCTATGAGCTCTGTCTGTTGACCTGTATTTTTTCGAAATCCAAAATATTTCCACACAGCTGATTTATGCCGGAGTAAATGACGTTATCATCATCGCCTTTCTCTCGGCTGCTTGCCATCTGCCTGCTGCTGTTTGACGATGACGCAGGCCTTCAAAATAAGAGCGTATGCTAAAGCTGATGATATACATTGGTGTTTTCACTTTGCATTGATGATACTGGATGACTGATCATTGAATCGATCCCTATTGGACAACATGTCTCCACTTACTTCCACTGTATAAAAATGAAGCCAAAATATCCTGCAGTAGCCATTTCCACCTTATCCAGTTCCAGCCATAGACTGTATAAAAATATGGACGTAGTCACCGTGAGGTCACCCACTGGTTTCTTAGGAGCGTTTGAAGCTCAAAGTAGGCGGCTCTGGCCGTTGGCATCTTGGCAGTGTCTGACTCAGCCTAGTCTGAGTGGGCGGAAGTTCGCTGCATAGATCAGCCTCTCATTGGGCGGAACGAGCCACCCGCTGAAGTCCCGCCCTACCACCTCCGGTTGTGTAGCAGTTTTCAACTGTTTTCAACACGCTCTTTACTAACTTTTGCGGTGTTTGATCTTGAGGGGTTGTAGCCATTTTTCTGCCATGATTCGCATCCTGTAGGCGATATTTTTGTGGGCGTGTTACACCAAAACTTGTTTCCCCCCGGCAATATTTTTGCAAGCGCACCGTTGCTGTGGCACCATCCAGAACGATTGTGATTGGTTGAAAGAAATACAAGCAGCTGGGGCGTTTTTTACTCCAATCTTAAAGTGAGAGTCAGCCCAGCCAGACCTTTCTTTTCTTGAGAAAGGTCTGGTGAGCGAGACTAGACTCCGCCCAACTCCCGGCCAATCAAAAATGGGCAAAGAGCAGCTAAGGCTAACAAGCTAGGCTAACAAGCTACGCTACTTTGGATAGCCCTGTGGTGTTGGCTTCTCCCGCTCATGCTCCCGCTTGGTGCCAGCTCCCTCACGAAACAAAATATCCAAAAGGCACAAACACTGCTGAGAGGTCAGGTTCAGTGACTTGCGAATTAGCTGAGATTACGCCTAGCAGACAGCCAGCGGCTAGTTAGCCACCTGTGATGGCGCCACCTGTCACTCAAAGTGACCACACCCTTAATTATGTGCAACTTTAAGCCTTAATAAAATTTAAACAGATGAGTTATAAAAAAATTCACCCCCCATACTGTTGTCATGAGGGGGGAAATTAGCCAGAGAGACCAAAACCGTTTTTTGAACCAGGCTGTAAACATGTTTATTTCTGCTGTAAAGTTGAGCATTTTAACATGGAGGTCTATGGGGATTGACTCGCTTTTGGAGCCTGCCTCAAGTGGCCATTCAACAAACTGTTTTTGGCACTTCCGCATTGGCTTCACTTGTCATCCCTGGAGGTTGCCGCTTGGTTCCAGCTGATAGAGTTGTCCGACCAATTGCAAGCAGCGCCATTGGTTGTAAGCACACCAATATGCACACAGGGCTGAAATTCGTCAGAAAAACGAACACTTGAACATACATCCTCAGCGTGATAAGAACTACCTAAAATGACAGAAACGGTCTTTGGGAAAAATCTATTTGATGAGTACTTTGAGTTTTTAGTTTGGCATTTGGCCCATGTTCCATCCACTAACATGGAGGGGACAGGGTCTATGACCTGTACTGCAGCCAGCCACTGGGGAGCAATCAAGCTGTTTTGGCTTCACTTTTGGGAGCTGTCATGTCATCAATCTTTATATACAGTCTATGGTGTACATGTACAAGGAATTCGACTGTGGGTTTTTTGCATTGCTCTCAATGCAATCACACATAAAAGACATAACAGCAAAGAACAAGGAGAGTGAAACTGGACAAATAATGGTAAAACAGGACTGTTATGTACATTATTATGTACACTATGTAATAGTTATGTAAGCATGTGAAAGCTCTTTATATAAATATTATAGTGCAAACAAACAAATGCTATGATAAGAAACAAGTATGTATGGACTGGATGATTATGTCCAGTATTTGCATGTACACATGTTTATATATTGTCATGCAGCATGCAGGATTTATATTGAAAGTGACTTTTTTTACAGTGTAAATGTTGATTCAATGGTACTGTCCCATATTAGTTAAGAATACAAGCAAACAATAGTGTTAATGTTTTTATTTTCACATGGCATGTTTTTTTACGTTTGGGTTTTGCATACAAGACATCCAGAAGAATGTCATCCACTAGTGTTTTTAAATTTATCTTTTATTAATTTGGTCTGTAGCAAGTCATGTGCAGGGTCCTGTCAGCACATGACCTTTGATTCCTCCAAAAATATGTCATAATTGTTTCCCACCCAGCGCACTGTAAGATAAATAAGAGCAGTGCTCATCCCTCAGCTTTGTATGTAAATTGCCAAGATTGATTCTGTTTAGCTGACTAGACACCTGCATGTTCTGAATTCACTACAAAGCACTTTCAAAAGCGTCTGGTCTCTTGAATACTTCAATAGGGAATTGTTTCCGTGCTGTCTTCACAAACACAGTCCAGCTTTTAGTGACAGTTGCAGAGTTGACACATACTCAACATTTTCCGAGTTCCACTGGTGACTGTCCGACTCTGGCCGCCCCTGTGTGAACTGTAAACTGCACGGCAACTCACTGCAGACCGGATCATTTATATTTGTTTCCAGAATGGATTTGTTGGTTGTCACAGCAGCGTAATGAGGTGTTACAAAAAGACTGAATGATGAAACCTGTTGTGCAAGTGTAAATGATGAAGGAAAGTAAATGCAGTGAAGGTGAAAATGATACAGTTGGATGCAAACTGTGAACTTCCTGTTGTGATTAGACAACACAAATGTATCAAGGCCATATTTTCATTCATTAAATTTTTACACGTTGTTGTGAGTGACAATTTGAAATTCCACAAGAACAAAGTACACATATATCTTCAAACTTTGATGGTTGAAAGAAACTGAATTAACATATTTAAAAACGTGTTTTAAACACAACCTTGCATTAATAATTCAGCACAGTGGAGCTTCCTCCTTACACAGTGTCCCTTTCTGTTATTTTATTCTGTAGTTTTGACCATTAAATCTGTGCCTTGGTGAGATAGTTGTTTCCATCCCTTCGTCTGCAGTACCAGTATTTCATATTAAACCATCAAGATTTAATTTGGATGCCTAAAACACCAAGCTGTGATTAATGCAGTGATATTTTATATTGGATTTTGATTAATTTTAAGGCATTATAAATCATTAATTAAAATTTAATGAAGGCATGTTTGTACTTTTCATTTCTCCCTTGAATTTGAAGCACCTGTACAGGTTTCCAAAAAACATACATTGACATTTCTCTTTATCTCTGTCCTTTTCCCGCAGCTCTGAAGGAGAACAGCTCAGAGGTCGTGCAGCCTTTTCTGATGGGCTGTGGCACCAAAGAGCCAAAGATCACCCAGCTGTGTCTGGCTGCCATCCAGAGACTCATGTCCCATGAGGTGGTATCTGAGGTGAGGACCATGAGCTAACCTGACATTTGAAGTGCTGGCATACAGTACAGGCCAAAAGTTTGGACACACCTTCTCATTCAATGCGTTTTCTTTATTTTCATGACTGTTTACATTGTAGATTCTCACTGAAGGCATCAAAACTATGAATGAACACATGTGGAGTTATGTACTTAACAAAAAAAGGTGAAATAACTGAAAACATGTTTTATATTCTAGTTTCTTCAAAATAGCCACCCTTTGCTCTGATTACTGCTTTGCACACTCTTGGCATTCTCTCGATGAGCTTCAAGAGGTAGTCACCTGAAATGGTTTCCACTTCACAGGTGTGCCTTATTAGGGTTAATTAGTGGAATTTCTTGCTTTATCAATGGGGTTGGGACCATCAGTTGTGTTGTGCAGAAGTCAGGTTAATACACAGCAGACAGCCCTATTGGACAACTGTTAAAATTCATATTATGGCAAGAACCAATCAGCTAACTAAAGAAAAATGAGTGGCTATCATTACTTTAAGAAATGAAGGTCAGTCAGTCCGGAAAATTGCAAAAACTTTAAATGTGTCCCCAAGTGGAGTCGCAAAAACCATCAAGCGCTACAACGAAACTGGCACACATGAGGACCGACCCAGGAAAGGAAGACCAAGAGTCACCTCTGCTTCTGAGGATAAGTTCATCCGAGTCACCGGCCTCAGAAATCGCAAGTTAACGGCAGCTCAGATCAGAGACCAGATGAATGCCACACAGAGTTCTAGCAGCATACCCATCTCTAGAACAACTGTTAAGAGGAAACTGCGCGAATCAGGCCTTCATGGTCAAATAGCTGCTAGGAAACCACTGCTAAGGAGAGGCAACAAGCAGAAGAGATTTGTTTGGGCCAAGAAACACAAGGAATGGACATTAGACCAGTGGAAATCTGTGCTTTGGTCTGATGAGTCCAAATTTGAGATCTTTGGTTCCAACCGCCGTGTCTTTGTGAGACGCAGAAAAGGTGAACGGATGGATTCCACATGCCTGGTTCCCACTGTGAAGCATGGAGGAGGAGGTGTGATGGTGTGGGGGTGTTTTGCTGGTGACACTGTTGGGGATTTATTCAAAATTGAAGGCACACTGAACCAGCATGGCTACCACAGCATCCTGCAGCGACATGCCATCCCATCCGGTTTGCGTTTAGTTGGACGATCATTTATTTTTCAACAGGACAATGACCCCAAACACACCTCCAGGCTGTGTAAGGGCTATTTGACCAAGAAGGAGAGTGATGGAGTGCTGCGGCAGATGACCTGGCCTCCACAGTCACCGGACCTGAACCCAATCGAGATGGTTTGGGGTGAGCTGGACCGCAGAGTGAAGGCAAAGGGGCCAACAAGTGCTAAACACCTCTGGGAACTCCTTCAAGACTGTTGGAAAACCATTTCAGGTGACTACCTCTTGAAGCTCATCGAGAGAATGCCAAGAGTGTGCAAAGCAGTAATCAGAGCAAAGGGTTGCTATTTTGAAGAAACTAGAATATAAAACATGTTTTCAGTTATTTCACCTTTTTTTGTTAAGTACATAACTCCACATGTGTTCATTCATAGTTTTGATGCCTTCAGTGAGAATCTACAATGTAAATAGTCATGAAAATAAAGAAAAAGCATTGAATGAGAAGGTGTGTCCAAACTTTTGGCCTGTACTGTATATACAATACACTAAGGTTAGGACTGGAGATATGTGCACACAAAAAATAAAGATAATATTATAAAAGTAATCAAAGAGCAATATGAGAAAAGACTTCAAATGCAGCAGTGTTATTGGAAACATAAAACACATTTTTGGCCTGTTAAGATTAATGTATACTAAATGAATATTAGGCCATTAGAATATTAGAGAAATAAAGAATAAAAATATGTCGATGTTACTGTAGTCGGAATACCGTTATCTTGTGTGATGTAGTTTTTGTCCTGGATGAACGATGTAGGATCCTGACATCTCTGTCAGTTTTGAATCAGAGGATGAACATAGCTGATATTTAGTTGCACCACATTTTCCCATAGACTGTATAAAAATAATGGACGCAACACCTGTGACGTCACCCATTGGTTAGTGAACTCCCATTTTGAAGCCTTGGGTTTGGCAGTTTGGATGTTGCCATCTCGGATTTTTGGAGCCAAAAGTGACTATATGTAATGAGAGGGTGGAGCTGTGGAGGAGTGATGGGTGGATGTGACTCATAGACTGTGGTGATGCAGACAGCCTGTAACTCAGAGCCACCTAGGCCCTAATGATGCCTAATTATGACTCAGTGTCCTCAAGTGACCATTTAGAGGAACTGCATTTTTTGGCACTTGGCATTGGCTGCATTTTTTAGCCTTGAGGCTGTTTCCTCAATACTCCTTTTTTTGTAAGGTGGTCTTAGAAAGTCAAATCAATAAGAGCCCACTGCTCTCATGTGGATTCATCACCTTGTGTCACTCTACTTCATAGAATGACACAAGGTCATGATTATCCCTAAGAGTGCCAAATCAATTCACATGTCTGTATAGTTTCAGGTATGCTGTGTGCAGGAGGTCATGTTTTTCCCAGCTATTTTAGCCTTGTATCAATCATTAGCTTTGTTTAGATATTAAGAATTGCCACAATTAATACAGGACTACTGGTGATTCTCACTTGACAGCTCTCCACAGACTGAAATTATGCATATTGATAAAGACCTCAGTGATCCTCAAGAATTTATTGTTTGCTGTTTTGCACATTCGGAGTATGTTTCTGCTTGCAAATTAAAGTTCACCTATCACCTTAGGCACATCCTTCCTAATATCCTAAAGGTAATTTATTTAGATCAATGCAGGAATCAATGCCACTCATCAATACCCAATCAGACAATGTAAATATTAGAATCTTAATTAATTCCTGTCACCGGTGGCTACGTGTGAAAGATAAGATAAGATAAGATAAGATACACCTTTATTGATCCCATAATTGAGAAATTCCAGGCGCCAACCCCCACCATTCTTCTTTCACTACTCATTCTGTCCCGCAGTTGATGTCTGTCTTTTATTCTTTGCACAGCCCCTGTATTTAAGGAAACCATCACTCTAGAGAGGGTAATACTATGGTGCTCCAGTAGTTTCATCTGATCTATGTGCGCAGCAGCAGTTAAACAGCGCTGAATGATTCGGTGGATTAAGGTATCCATCTCTGGAAATGGGGGACTGAAAATAATTTCTTAAACACAAATGTATGAGCAAAAATGGACCTTTTAAATAACCCAGCTGGAGTCAGAGCTGTTTCAGAGTTGGCACCCTGTAGCTGCTGCACAACTGCTTTGGTAATACACCGTTAAAGACTGTTATTAAAAGCTTATGGAGCCACCCCATGCTTTTTTTACATTTTGATATCAGGCATTTATTTAATTAGGCAAACACAGGTTTTAAGTCTTCTGCTTTTGGTAGGAGAGTATAGGTGTTCTGCATGACTGGGTATTTGGTGTTATTTTGATCAGCTCTTTAAACAAGTTTGATCTCCCTTAAATCAAAGTGATGCACATTTGAGTTACAACTAATTCTCATTATTAGTTCATCTGTTGTTGATAAATTCAGACCGTTCGCCAGAAGAAAATGCTGGCCTTGTACGTTTCTGTAAACAATGGATATGTTACATTTGTACGTTTCACATGTAACATATCAAGTTTTTTAAAGTGACGTGTATCATCTGGAGGTAGAGGGACGATTGATGACATGGCACCTCAGCGAGACACCTTCCAAGTTATCAACCATTGTCGGTTGTTTTTTTTGGAGAGTCATCTCTGCATCTTCCAGCTGCGGTTTAGCCACCAAAAGCGGGTATTTTTAGCCAAAACATGATTTTTACAGGTGGCACAGTGGTGGAGTGGTTAGCACTGTCACCTCATAGCAAGAGGGTTCCTGGTTTGAACCCTTGGTGGGGGACCCATTCTGTTGCATGTTCTCCCCATGTCACCGTGGGTTTTCTCTGGGTACTCCGGCTTCCTCCCACAGACCAAAGACATGCAGGTTAATTGGTAGTCCTTATATACAGACTCTACATTCAGTGAATGTAGAGTCTGTAGGCAAACCCCGGAGATCTTGCCTCCAGAAGAAGAGAGGAAGAGCCCTGGTTTCAGGTTGTAGGCTGTTTGTAGTCCGCATGATATTGACCAATCACGTTTGAGCCGGCTGCAGTTGTTGCCAGGTTAAACGGTCCGTGTGGTGAACAAACGAGGCGGAACATAACTGGTGTCACTGCAAACTCTGAATCCATCGCAATGGTTCAGCATATTTACTTATATATAAACGGAAGTCAGAAACGCAAATTCACCTCCTCCGCCCAAATCAAACAGGAATGCCAAAAAATCATGGGTCTACCCCCAGAGGCTGTATTCGCCGTCTGCCGGATGTCAGACGCCGAATACAGCCGATGGGTTCCGAGAATGGTTAATTGGTGACTGTCTATTTGCCGTAGGTGTGAATGTAAGTGTGAGTAGTTGTCTGTCTCCATAACCCTTTTTCCATTTGTCACTCTTGGCCGCACCGAGTAAAGCTACGCCATGCCAATTTTTGTTCCCATTGTCAGTTTAGACATGCCATGCCAAGCCGCACCAGAGATTGACCTTCTCAGGAGTAGGTCCGAAAGCCGGGCCACCCGGCCTCCCTCAAGTGGGTAGTGGGGAGCGTGTGTGTTGGGAGACTCTCCTGCGTCCTGTTTTTACTTTAGATATCTGCTTTATTTTACTGTTTCATGTTTGCTTTGCTGCCCTGCTGTGCTGGGTTGACGGCTCAAACCAGGCCAAGCCAAGCCAAGCCAAGCCGAGCCAGCCCGTGACTGTTGAAATGGGGGACAAGTGTCAGCCTTGTGATAGTCTGGCATCCTGTCCAGGGTGTACCCCACCTTATCACCCAATGTCAGCTGGGATAGGCTCCAGCATTCCTTACTTTGTTTGAACAACAGTCCAAAACCTTTTATCAATTTACAATTGTATAAAAAAAGGAAAAACCAGACAATCCTCACATTTGAGAAGGTGAAACCAGCTGTTGTTTGTCATTTTTGCTTTATAAATGACTATGGTTATTGAAATTGTTTATTTATTTTACATCAACTGTCAACAAATCGTTTCAACGCTAATCACCTCCTTTCATACTGCTACATATCTTCACACCTTTCAGATTGTGGGTAGTGGGTGGTGGTTGAGTGTCTTGTTCAAGGGCATCTCAACATGAATGTGTGAGGCAGATTTTCTCAGCTAGTCTGAAGCTTCGGGAGTTACTCTCGGCCTTTAAGACCACATTCCATCTTTGTTTCTTTTCTTTTGTACCTTCCTCCGCCAGAGTTCGTCTTTGAGCGGCTGTTATCGCACTATCACACTCAACAAACATCCAGAACATCTAAGAGAGACACTTCACATATTCTACAACACACACATTTTCTGATCCATTGAACACTGTAACTCCTCTCTTTCTCTCTGCCAGCAGCACTCCACCTCATCAGCAGCCCTGAACTGCAGGGTTTACCTGAGGGCGTCACAAGACAAAAGTCTACTATCTCAGTATTGATTCTGAAGGTGTCACTGGAGGCAACCTAGTCAGATACTCTGTCATGTCGAGAGAATGTGGTGGTAGTCAATGTAATTTCGCTCCCTTGGGGAAAGAGAGGGATCTGTCTTGAAAGAAAATGTTGTAATAGGAAAGAGCAGACACTGAATTGCCTTTTATTGATGGGACGCCTTTGCAGGCATCTGTTGGTGTCAAACACCACAGGAACAATACTGTCAACGTTTCCAAATCTGGGCATCAACCTCTGCAATGAAAACACTGCTGGGGATAATTGTATGCTCCTAAACCACATTTACATTGTAAAATGTGTCAGCAAACAAGGTTGTTGTTGTTGGATGATTCTATGACACTCAGCAGAGTCAACACTGAGGCAAATCAGGACTAATTACATCTAAGCCCTTGTAGAAATGTTTGGGAGTTGCAACGTAGCATAAACTCTCTGTTAAATTTTACAATATCTTGAATGTAACTGGGGCTTTAGTGTATTAGACAAAAGATAACAAGACAACAGGTCAGTTAAGTCAGTAATCAAGCTATAATACCAAATATTTGCTGGTTCCAGCCTCTAAAATTCAAAGAATTGCTGATTTTCTTTAATTATGAATCCTCCTGTGACCCTAGCGTGAAGACTAGTCGTATTCTGGACAGCTTGACCCAAGAAAGGACATGCAGTGTCACTTTCTGTGAGCATCAAGTGACATGATGTTAACCGGCAGCTAGCTTTGGTGTTATTGAACCCTATGATGCTGTGACCTCTAAGCAGGCAGCGCCAGCTGGTCCCACAAGTGTGTGGTTATGTGTGTGTCTTTGATTTTAAGGGTTGTGTCACCTCAGGCTGAGCTCTCACTTGACATTTTTCTGTCACAGCTCCGATACTGCCTCCTGAGTCTTGAGTGCTTGTGTAAACTGGTGGATGATCAGTAATGCGCTAAGATTTGATCAAGATCAGTGTGAATAAGTTATGGTGTTTGTGTGCATGACAGGCAGCTGCGGGGAACATCATCAACATGTTGTGGCAGCTGATGGAGAACGGTTTGGAGGAGCTGAAACTTCTACAGACTGTCCTGGTGCTGCTAACCACCAACACCGTCGTACACGATGAAGTACTTTCCAAGGTACACAAGCAACACACTCCTGTAACTGTATGCATGTTCTACTCCCTTGTATGTGTATGTGGACCCTACAGGTATCCATATAACCCAGTGTTGTTTCTCAGTGAGTCACCTTCCATCTATTATTAAAGCTGTAGCTATAATGTTTTATTATGCACATAAATACATTTATTTGTGGAATCCTTGCACCAGTTTGTGCAGCATCATAACACTGCCAGTTTATATGGACTCACTCTGTTGCACACCATTTTAAAAAGTCACAGGACTCCAATGTATTGTAAACTCTTAAAGGTGCAGTATGTAGGATTTAGTGGCATCTAGCAGTGAAGTTCTTCTTTCCAAGCGTATCTATGATGGCCTTCAGGTAATGTAAAAATGCAAAAGGCCCTCTCTAGAGCCAGCGTTTGGTTTGTCTGTTCTGGGCTACTGTAGAAACATGGCAGACACTATGGAAGAGGACCTGCTCCCTATCAAAGATACTGGATTACTACAAGATGGCCCACCTACAATATACTCCCATTGTATGAAATGGTATACATTTCCGGTCTCCTAAGTGGGCGTTGTCCCCCGTACCCCAATCAAAGACGATGGAGAACCGCCAATCAGAGACGAGTATCCCCAACCTCGCTTCTGTCAACATGTGTGTACCCTTACTGGCCGCAAGCTAAATAGATAAATAAGCGGCCTGTGAAAAAAATATTTTTTCCAGCAGATGTCTTAGTTACAACATGATTGAGCTAACTGGAGTAGTTTCATGTCATATCTGACAACGGGAGGCTTTTAACAGATGACGTCCTGATGTTAGCTTTGCTGCTGCTGTTAGCTGTCCCTGTCAGCTGCAGCCACTGATGCTTTCTAGACATCGTGATTTCCCAAAACTGAATAAATACCACACATAGCAACACAAAACTGCTTTGCTAGCTCAATCATGTTGTAACTAAGATATCCGCTGGAAAAAAATATTTTTTTAATCCAGTATCTTTGGTGAAACTGCACTGATTTCAGCACCAGAGAGGAGATATCTGTTGCCAGATCTCGCAAGAGTGTGTTGTTGAGACAGAGACACAAATTTTCTCCTGATTTGTCCGTCTGAAATTTGCCATTTTGGTGTCGGAATGTTCTGAAGATATGTGGCTTGTGATAAATGGGTCCAATATTTGCTTCCGTGACTATGGGGTGAAAGAATCGGCCATAATCTGTAATCACGTTCATTTCTCCCACTGAAGTCAATGGACTCAGGACCTGCTGTTACTCTCCTAAAGGGACGTGGTGGTCGCGAACCCCACGTGACACTGATACAGGAAACTGACTCGCAGTGGACCATCTTGGTTTATCCACTGTCTTTGTCCCTATGTAGAGATGAAGAAATACAGTTATTCAATAAACTAATTCTTAGTTAAAGTGGATAATATACTTCAAAAAACATAATTATGAATATTTTATTTCATCTCTGCCAATACATCCACCTAAATCCTACATACTGGACCTTTAAGACTCTTATCAGCTGTATGAAGTTACCAGATCAGTCCTTGTCATAGCTGAGAACACAGAACATGATTTTATCATACTCATTATGAAGATGGAAGACTGTAGTAATTCATTTAGGTTCAGTTTATACATTATATATAGTATGCAAATGCTGCATAATACATTTATGTTTTGTCCTTGCCCAGGCCATCGTGCTGTGTTTCCGTCTTCACTTCACCAAGGACAACATCACCAACAACACAGCAGCCGCCACCGTCAGACAGGTCGTCACTGTGGTCTTTGAGAGGATGGTGGCCGAGGACGAGCGTTTCAAAGGTGATTGAAGTAGAAACATTTAAAGCAGTAGTACCCAACTGGTCCAGCCACAGGGTCCAGATTTCACCTTAGTCACTAGTGTCAGGTTCACACAGTTAAATACATTTAGTGTCATACTAGAATTTGGCGATGCTGTCAAGCTAGTTTGCTGTCTCTGTCAAATAGCTGTCCATAAGTCAATCACTCTACAGCGGGAAACTACACTTCAAAATAAAAGCTCTGTGAAGGAAATTCACTGTACCTAAAAGAAAAGTTTGTACACATTTGTGAGTCACTTGCGGTCCATTCAGAATGAGCCTGTGACCCACTTTTGGACCCGTACCCACCATATATGGACCACTGAGTGATACAAAGTTTAAACAAAGGGATGTGATATCTGATCTCACGGAAGACTTGTAGCATTTTTAAGCATCATTTCATGAGTGTGCTGATGGAGAGGTGTCTAAGTAGAGAGTACAGAGTAGTATATGTTATATATATGATTCATGGGAAGTCAAGCTGAGTATTAAATTTGAATTCTGGTAACATCCTGACTCTGAGCTCACACTTACCCTCAGTGTTTTACTGTTGTATTGCCAATGAGTTGATTAAATGCTTAAAATATTAACTGTATTCCTCCTCAGGCATTGTAGAGCAGCCTCCTCCTGTCCAGGGAAACACCAACAGACGGTCTGTTAGTACGCTGAGGCCCAGTGCTAAAGATGCATACATGCTGTTCCAGGTATGTCCACCGGGGGGCAGCAGCCTTCTACACAGTGTTGTGCCCTCTCCTTGGGTTAAACCTTTGGACCATCTTGGTTTTGAAATAATGATCTTGCCATTTGTGGAGTAAAGACAAGAGATCTAAATGGTCCCTACAGCTACAGCTTATTAATATACCAACCTCATAACCTTGAGTTTTAAAGTACAGAACAAGTTGCTTTCATCTCTGCAATGAAGTGAAATTCGCAAGAAGAAATCAAAGGTCCCTTGTCACTCCTCACCCACGCTGCGCTTTTGTTTAATCATGCTTATTCTTGCAGCAGAGCTCAGTGACTGCACTGTTTCAACCACTGTGATGTGTGTAGGACATAACACTTCATTGTTTAAGATGCTGTTGTGTGCCGCTCTGCAGGACTTGTGTCAGCTTGTGAATGCTGATGCCCCCTACTGGCTGGTGGGGATGACAGAGATGACTCGGACGTTTGGCCTGGAGCTGCTGGAGTCTGTTCTGAATGATTTTCCTGGGGTATTTCTACAGGTACACGCAGCCTTACATGTCCACCTCTAGTATATATTAACTTATCTGAACATCAGAGAAGATGCAGCTCAGTGTAGTAAAATTAATCCTCTTTAACACTAGTGTGTCTTGGTGTTATTAAGCTTGATCTGATCCCCATGTCACTCGTTCTCTCTCTGTGTTTCCCACCCAGCACCAAGAGTTCAGCTTCCTGCTGAAGGAGCGCGTGTGTCCCCTCGTCATCAAGCTCTTCTCCCCCAACATTAAGTTCCGGCAGGGCAGCAGCAGCGCCGCCTCACCGGCACCTGTGGAGAAGCCTTACTTCCCCATCTGCATGAGGCTGCTGCGCGTGGTCTCAGTCCTCATCAAGCACTTCTACAGCTTACTGGTAAGGGACCAGTCTGCAGTGATGGTCGACTGGTCAGAACTGTTGCCTGATGGATGCTTTACGAGGAAGGGATTTTCTCCAGCGCAGAGCTGATACTCTTAATTGATCTGGTCTGATTAGCATTGGATTAGCGTGGTAGTAGTTTTGTCTTAGTTTTGCTTCAGGCGCTTTAATGAGCTTAGCCGCATCTAAGTAATTAACCATTGCAGCTGTTTTTATTTAGTGACATTCTGTCAATCCTTGAAATGGAAATTAGTCCGTTGCCCGGCTGTCAAGAAGCGTGGTCAGCCAGGGAATAGCTTCATCAAAGCCCAAAGGGATTCAGAGATTTTGCCAGAAGCAGGCTTCCAGGCAGTGGACAAAGCTGGTCAAAAGTCTGTCCCAGTCTGACTGGTGTGTGTTTGTGTTACAGGTGACCGAGTGTGAGATCTTCCTGTCTCTGCTGGTGAAGTTCCTGGATGGGGAGAAGCCACAGTGGCTGAGAGCAGTGGCTGTGGAATCAGTCCATAGGCTATGTGTGCAACCACATTTATTACGGTGAGCAATATTAAGCTCTACAAATTGCACGTTTTAATTAATGACGTTTTTAAATGTTAACTCTTAAAAAAAGAGTTGTTTTGTGCCTCACACCTCTGGATTGTGGGTAATCATTCCTTAATGACTCTTCAGTTTGCAGCCAAACTGTGTGATGTACTGGGTCATGATGGCGAAATGTTTCTATAAATGCTGATTTATCTGCCTCTCGATACAACAGAGGTTGAACTAAGCAGGAAAAGATATGTACAAGGCATACCACTGTAGCACACACTCTCCACTAACATACAAATAACATAAGATATCATTGTGTTAGCCTTCTCACTCATCAGCATGATTCTAGGAATGACAGTGTTGGTCAGTGACTCAATCCAGCTGTTGATCTCTTTTGTCCAGACTAAAATATTTTGACACTTTGTACATTTGGTGAAGACATTCATGGTGTCATAAATTAAAGGATGGTTTCTGCAGATTAACGTTTAGGGTGCTTTCACACCTGCAGTTCGATCCATTTGGTCGCACCAGAGAGAAAAAATTATACATTTTTTGCATTTCACTTTTGGTTCGCCTCCTGTTCACACTGACATTTTGCAAAAGAAACAAGAGCAGTGAACACGAAGTTCTACCGACAGTTTGTCATCCTACATCATCAGATCCCACGTGGGGAAATCAAATTACGGTGATTGACAGACGTTCATGCAGCAGCACTTAAATGCTTCTAAAGTGTTTATATTTATGTTCTTTGGTTTCACAAAGAGCCCAAGGAGGAATAACTGACTGTAGGCAGTTATGAATAATGACTAACAGAGGGACGGGATGAAAAGAAAGCGTCTTGTACAGTAATGGTTCAGAGCTTAATACTGTTGGATCACTGGACTTAATGTGCAGACAAAGGACACAGAGTCTGATGCAGTGATGGCAGTTTTAAGTGTTTTTTAATCAGGGAAAATACTCTCACTGACGTGCATATGTGTTACCATGGTTACATGTATGCATTAGGGTAAACAGGTTATGGGATATTTATGGTCTTTATCAGGATTAATGATGAGATCGCAGGCAGATTTCATGATCAGCAGATGGATTTATTTTTGGTTTGGCTTTTGAAATTATGCTAAAATCACATGTCTGCCATCATAAAATCCTGTGGGTAGTTCGTTTTCCTTCTCACCACAAATGAGTGTCTGTTTGGAAACAGACCGAGACCCACCTTTTTGAGTGGTCCTCAGTTCGGTTGTTTGGTCTATACTAGGATTCGATTGACAGCTTTCACACCAGCCCAATTGATTCGTACTAACCGTGCAAACAGACCTGAGTTTATTGTAACCAAACCAAACAGATTAGGTGTGAAAGCACCCTTAAAATTAGCATGTTAGAATGCTAACAGCTACCATGTACAGCTGAGGCTGACAAAGTGCAGCTGGACCTGATGGATGTTAGCTAAACCTGACAGCACAGCTCAGTCTGATGAAAGTTGAGCAAAGTCTGACAACACAATGCTGAGTCTGTCTCTTAAAATTGTGCTGTTTTGCAGTATAATTCTTTACCATGTCAGCATCTTAAGTTCAGTGTTCTTGCCTTTTTTTTCCAGTTCGTTCTGCCAGTCATACGACATGAAGCAACACTCCACGAAGGTATTCAGAGACATTGTCAACGCTCTGGGATCCTTCATCCAGTCACTCTTCATCGTCCCCAGTGTGGGCAACGCTGCTGCCGTAAATGCACCTGCTGGTCAGTTCCATAATTTTAAGAGTAACCAAGTTCTTATTTGAGCTCTATAAGGCTGTGGTACAGTAATCAGTGTATTACTTGCTTGTGATTTATGGAGTCATGGAAAAGTCAATACATTTTATTAGTAGTTTAGTTCTTATAGGAATGTGATGGAGCAAAAATGTGTCTTCTTTTATTTTACTTTTTATCTGTATTTTGCTTTATCCCATCCTGTCTGTCTTCTTTGTTTATCTGCTCAGCACTCCTAACACTTTGACTTTCTGTCCAGGTGGCTCAGGTTCAGGAGCCCAGGGCACAGCGCAGGGCGGCCCAGGGACAGGAGGGGTCAGCGGCAGCCTGACTACCCAGGCTGCATTTGAATACCGTGGTACCTGGATCCCTCTTATGACTGTTAGTGTCCAGGGCAGCGCCAAGGCCACCTAGTAAGTACTGTCACTACACAGACTTAAATACTTCACCTCTCTGACTCCCTTTATATATGTTCTTATGTGAATTGAATTCCTGTAACACACACAGACACAGAAGAGGTAGACAGTAGTTGGCATCACCATCTCCTTGCTGCTAAGTGGCATAAAGCCGTAGCTGTATCCTACAAGCAGTGATAAATGATATTGCATTTAACAACGGGGGATCATAATAGGGCAGAGATCAAAGGCTTAACCTCACTGGAGGACTTAAAATGCTATTGTCATTCGTCTTTGGTGTTTCACAGAGAAGAGAGATTTGAAATACAAAGACTTACATTAGCCAGAGGCCGCGCTGTCACAAAGAGAAGTGTTGTCTAAATTGCCCCTTTGTGATGGTAATGAAATCTATTTGCTGTAATTAGGATTCTTGCTGGTGGTTTTGGAGGCTGGATGGAGCTGACTTTGCTTAGTATGAAGGAGAGCTAGGCACACACCTTTGATGCTTTAAGTATCTTAAACCCAACATGCTTGTTATTAAGAAGGAAATCTGGATACTTGGGACAACTGATGTAATGCAGTAATGTCTGTAGAGGGAGGCAGTGTTTAGATGGGACTCTGAAAACAGCTGGTGATGCACAGGTTACAGTATAAACCCCTACAGTATACACTCACGAACATGCAAACATTTAAAGTCATGGATGGACCTTTATTTAAGTATAGACACACTTCATTTCACACCAGGACACACATACACATGCGCACACTTTAACCTCCGTCTCATTTCCTCTCTTCTCTATTTTTATCCTCCAGTCTGGAGATGCTGGACAAGGTGGAGCCCCCGTCCATCCCGGAGGGCTACGCCATGTCTGTGGCCTTCAGTGCCCTTCTGGACCTGGTGCGGGGCATCACCTCTATGATCGAAAGAGAGCTGGCCGTGGAGGAGGAGGCAGCTGCTGAGTTCAGGGAGACTTATCCTGATCAGGAGTGGCAGCCACAACCTGGTGAGAATACACAGGGTGGGGGGGTGTATGGAAGAAGACAAGCAAGGTCTGATAATGCAGAAAATACTGGATATAAACCAGTCAGATTAGATAGAAAGAGATAAGAAAGCTTGACGAGATGCAGAAAACTGAAAAGGCACCAGAGCATCTGTGCGAGCTGTACACACATTTACAGTCTGTGTGTTTTACTGCATCGTGGCCGTTGCGATTCTGTGACTAGTGCGTCTATGACCCCTGGTGGCCAGTATTGTGCTTGTAAAAAAATGGAGGCATGTTTTGTTTGTTTTCCTAAGTGATACTGAAGTGAAATAACTCCTGAATAAACTCACGAATGCTTTGTGTTGTCTCAGGTGCCCACCTGGTGTGGGAGGAGATGGTCAGTGCCTGCTGGTGTGGTCTACTGGCTGCTCTGTCTCTGCTGCTAGACGCCAGGTAAAAGGAATACCTACTGGACCTTTGTGACTATCTGCGCTTTTACAGTCAGCAGTCAAGTTGGATTTTACTCATTTTGGAATCAAGCAGGAGAGAATGAATTGTCCCATAGGAAATCCCCAAATTATACTGTGTACTGGTTCATTAGTGTGTGTGTGTGTGCACATGTTAAAAACAAACAGTTGTAATGTCGTCCAATTGATTTCCTGTTGTAGTGTTTTAACACGTTGACACACTGGCATGAGGTAAACTTTGACCTTAACTGATTTTTAGCAATGCAATTCAGAGGAAATGGTTTTATAGACTTTTTTTATACATGTTTTATTCAGATATTGATTCATCAGTCTTTTTTTACAAGCAACTTAAACGTGAAGTACTGTTCAGGCCAAGCATATAAAACATTTTGGTGTTCAGTGTTCGCACAACACGACCAGCTGTCATTAGAGAAAAAACACTCGGATAAAGATTTAGCTTACGTCTTAATACATCAAACACCTTCTGTTTATTTTCTCCAGAGTGATAATAATCTTCCTCTAATACCAAACTAAATAATTGGAAACAGCTTTGATTAATAGAAACACAGACAGACTACACTCTTAACTTTTCCTGTGCTTTATGCCTCCGTGCCGGCGATGTTATGTTTTCGGGTTGTCCGTCCTTCCATCTGTCCTATTTTCATGAACATGAAATTAAAAAATGGCTGAGGTTATTTCTTCAAATTTGGCACTAACACCCACGTGGTATCAGCAATGACCTGGTTAGAATTTGGTGGCCATAGGTCAGAGTTCAAGGTCACTGTGACCTCGTGTGTCCCATTCTTGTGAAGGAGATATTTCAATAGGGCCTTGAGGGAGTTTTCTCAACTTTGGCACAAACGTCCATGTGGACTCACTAATGAAATAATTACAATTTGGTGGTCAAAGGTCAAAGTTCGAGGTCATTGTGACCTTACAAAAGATGTTTTGGCCATAACTCAAGAATTCTTGAGCTAATAATGACAAAACTTCACACAAATGTCTAATAGGATGTAATGATGAAGGGCTGACATTTTCTGTCCCAACGTTTAACTTCACTGTGACATAATTCATTTATTCATTTTCCGTAACTGCTTATCCAGTTAGGGGTCGCGGGGGGCGGGAGCCTATCCCAGCTGACACTGGCCGAGAGGCAGGGTTCACCCTCGACAGGTCACCAGACTATCACAGGGCTGACACATAGAGACAGACAACCATTCACACTCACATTCACACCTACGGACAATTTAGAGTCACCAATTAACCTGCATGTCTTTGGACTGTGGGAGGAAGCTGGAGCACCTGGAGGAAACCCACGCTGACACAGGGAGAACATGCAAACTCTGCACATAAGGACTCCCCACCCCTGGTTCGAACCCAGGGTGGGACCTTCTTGCTGTGAGGTGACAGTGCTAACCACTGTAGCACCATGCCGCCATGACATTATAATGTTCTGCAAAAACACTTTCTGGCCATTATTTAATATCATATCTTAGGAACAGAGGAGGAGACATTTTGTCAGATACTGAAATGGTGACCTAATCTTCGGTGCCCATCTTGAAACCGTACTGATTGCGTAGATCTTTTGCCCTGCCAGGGGAGGACGATGTTTGTGAAGCATCAAAGTTTTCACAGACTTGGATGTAAACTGTAACTGCAACTGGTTTTCAGAGGCATACAACCACAAGGCTGTAATTCTAGTTTTTCTCCGTCTTGTCCCGTCACTTCAGCACCGACGAGACAGCCACAGAGAACATCCTAAAGGCAGAGCTGACCATGGCCTCGCTGTGTGGTCGTCTGGGCCTGGTGACGCCCCGTGACGCCTTCATCACAGCCATCTGCAAAGCCTCTCTGCCGCCACATTATGCTCTGACTGTTCTGAGCAGCAACGCCGCAAACCTCTCCAGCAAAGGTACGGCTCCTCAGCTGAGAATGCCACTTAAAACTGCATAAGACACAGTATTAGCAATAAGTCAGGTGGCTTGTTACCTCTTTTTATTTGTATAAGATGTAGCCTTAATACTTAATTGCCTGTACACACACACACACACACACACACACAAATACCTGAAATACCTAGATAATACCTCAAACCGTTTGGGGTTGAGTTTGGTATGCATGTTTGTATTCCTGCTTTAATGTTGGGATCAAAAAATCAAATACATAAATGTACCACACACAGCTCAAAGTCCCCCTTTCCAACCCCGAGGATGGCCTCTGGTCATGTGTGTTTATGTTACACTAATGAGCACTTCTCGTCTCCCATATGGTTAGATGTGCATGCTGCTAAACTGAGCTTAACATGTAAAATGTTGGCACTCTGCCTGTCCCTATCGTCCTGCTCTTATTGCTTTAATCCATAACTTTTCACTGTGGCTTCTAATTAGGAACACAGAGGAGAACGTGTCTGGGGATTGTAGACGTACACACACACACACACACACACACACACACACACACAGCTGCTCTCAAACCAGCCACTAAGACATTCGTTATTTGCATATTAGCTTGTAGAGATAAAGCCGGCAAATTGGGTCTCAACTCGCGATGGATGTTTGCCTTGGAGTTAATTAAGAAAGCTTTTCTTGCATGTCGTAAGCTTGTTACAAAACCTGTTTGTGTGTATTACTGCCTCTCATAGAAAAACCTGACTCCTATGTGTGTGTGGGTGTGTGTTTGCACATGTGCGCGCCTGTGTGTATTCTCCACAGCCTACTCAATCCAAGGCCAGAGTGTACAGATTATCAGCCCCTCCAGTGAATCTCATCAGCAGGTGGTGGCTGTGGGGCAGCCACTCACCGCTCAGCCCCAGGGCACTGTGGTGGTAAGGACACACACAATTATGGAGAGGCGATGGTTGTACTTGACATTTGATAATTCATTTCATGTCGCCATTTTCCAAAAACAAAGCTCACAAACATTTTAGAATTAAGACAAATTATACAATGATTTAGCAGCTGCATAGAGAGCAAAACTGTTGCTGTTTGGGGGATAAATACTCTGAATACTCTAAATAAGAGCTGAGGTACGACCACCAAAGGTCAAAGATCAATTCAAAAAACAGGGTCAAGTCAAGACTGAGTCTAAATGGGCTCCAGACTGAGTCAGGACAAAAACAACAACACACATGTACCCTCAGTTAAAACAAAATGCACAGCAAAGCAATTAGTTTACCAGATGTTATTGATGTGCATTATTTGCACAAAGCCACATGAAAACAAACACTTTCTCTCTCAGGGCACCATTCAGGTAAGGGACAAGTTACGGTCATAAACATAGCATCTAAATTTCCCTTGAGTGCAATAACATTTCAAAAAACATGGGCAGGAACCTTGACCCTAACCTGGAATCATTATTCTGTAATTACGAATCTCCCTGAAGTAATATCATTGTTAACATGTTGTTTTTATTGTTGTCTTAGCTTTTACACGACTGTGTGTGCAACTTCTTTTTGTTACCATGCTTGTATGGCTGTGACCATTTTACTTATGGTAGTAACAGTGTCCCACACATAGAATTCACTTGGGCAGGCAGCCCAGGTATATTAAAGGGGAACTAACGTTTTTTTCAACCTGGGCCCTATTTTCCAATCTCCTTTTGTCTAAATGAGTGATAGGATGTTCAATTTGTGAAATTTCTCCAGTACGAAGCTAGGGCTGACCTGCCTGCAGCCTGTGAGCGCACGCTATATTAAATAATAGGGCACTCAGGCAGCTTCAAACAACGTCAAAATACATCCACTAAAAGTGCATTTTTTTCACACAGATAGGCTCGGGTTGTTAGTATAATTATCTGACAACGTAACAGAAAGGAGAAGTGAACGTCTGTGTTTACCTTTAGCTAGAATCGGACATATTTGTTGTGGCAAGTCAAAACACTTCCTCTGCCTGCTCCCTCTCTCTCCTCGTCCCTCTTCAATGAGCTCTGAGTCCGTGTACATCCGTGTACTCTGTGTTCAAATAAATACGAACAGTCATCAAATTCAAATGGCTCATCCAGATCCAGTTGGTCAAAATCAGGTAAAAATTCAGCCATGACTACTCCAAACAATCGCATTTGTAAGCTTGCTCCAGCGGTAACTTCCTGCAACAACTCAAGTATTGTGAGACCAACTGCCGTAAAACACCATAGACTGTATAGTAAAACACCAAAGAAGAAGAAGAAGAATCTCATGAGACTTGAGATTTCAGAGCCAGATTTTCACTTTCTGAGTGAGTGTTATGACTTGCAACAACAAACACGGACATACACAGATGCAGAGATGAAGAGCGGACGAGGAGAGAGAAGGAGCAGTAACAGGCAGAGGAACATGTCCAGCTAAAGGTAAACACAGACATTTCTCCTTTCTGTTATGTTGTCGGATAATTATACTAACAATCCGAGCCTATCTGTGTGAAAAAAATGCACTTTTAGTGGACGTATTTTGACGTTGTTTGACGCTGTCCCAGTGCCCTATTATTTAATATAGCGTGCACTCACGGGCTGCAGGCAGGTCAGCTCTAGCTTCATACTGGAGAAATGTCACATACTGAACATCCTGTCACTCATTTAGACAAAAGTAGATCAGAAAATAAGGCCCAGTTTGAAAAAAACATTAGTTCCCCTTTAACGACTTCTAAAATATATTTGGCAACCCATATTTTTATTTTTTTATGCAATGCCATGTGGAATCAGTTAACTACTTAAATTAGCTATTAATCAGCCTGCCTCTACCCCTCTCATACTCCCTTACCTGTTCGTTATGTGGCCTTGTCAGAAGCGCCCCAAAGTGTCGGTGTGCAGCTTGTGATATACAGCGATAGTTTCAGTGTCAGGTCTTTTTTTTTTTTTTTTTTTAGAGCTGTGAGTGAATCTGGCAAGAAAACGCACTGATAATCTGTTATAATAGTTATATAGAATATCTGTTACATATGAAATAAATCAGTGGTGCCCAACTGGTCCAGCCACGGGGTCCAGATTTCTCCTTAGACATTAGTTCAAGGTCCACACAGTTTAATTTATTAAGCGTCATACTTGCATTTGGCCATGTCGTTAAACTAGTTTTCTGTGTCTGTTAAGTAGCTGTTCATTAGTCACTCACTCTATTAGCAGGAAACAACACTTCAAAATAAAAGCTCTGTGCCGGAAATTCACTGTACTCTGAAATAAAGTGTTTTTTACAAACTTGACACATTTGTGAATCATTTGCGGTCCGTTCAGAAGGGACACACGACCCACTTTTTGACCACGACCCACCAGTTGGGAACCACTGATATAAATGATCTAATTTTGATAAATGAGTTTCAATTCTGCCAATTTTTTACCCCACAGGATGAAATTTCAAAATCTTTTATTATTAAAAATAGCTCAGTATCACTGCTGTTTGAGACTGTGTTTAATAAATTCTGTGCTTTTTCCATATATTTGTCTGGGGTATCTAAACGGAGCAAGACAGATGAGCACACACACTGACACATAAACTCACATGCAGACAGATTAGCTCTACCTGCGATTAGAAAAGAGCAGAATGATGTAATGTAAATGAAATCAATGGAAATATTCAGTAGTTCGTAATATTGCGTTAAAGGTTACATGTTTGTTTTTTTCTACATGTGGTCGGCCATGTTCGTACGAGCAGGTAATCCGGCCCTTTTCATCAGCTACTACCAAAAGTATATTTCAGACCTGTGGGAAACACTGAATAACATATATATAGCATTTCACTCTGTGACGTGTATTGATATTCACCGTAATATAAATGTCTGTCCCTCTGTCAGCTAACTGCCAAGAACATCCAGTGCATGCGGACATTGTTGAACCTGGCCCACTGCCACGGCGCCGTGCTGGGCACCTCCTGGCAGCTGGTACTGGCTACGCTGCAGGTACTGTTACCACCTGGTACCACCTGGTAATATGTAACCACACATGCTTTTCTAATTAGACAAGACAAAACAGGCAGTCCACATTCTCTCTTTCTCACACGCACGTGCATGTATTCTCCTTCCTCTAAATAAAGCGTGTGACATTTGCATACACTGCTTATTAAAAAAGATATTATCTCCCAAGAATAACATTTGCTGTACTTGTTTTGGTGCCATTTCGTGCATGCTTTGTAGCACTTACAGAAACAGACAAGAAATAATTTAGTTTTGTCTAAATTAGACTGAATGATCTTTCTTCATCAGCACACATTTCATGACCTTGTCAGTTGATGTAAATGTAGTTTCTCCTCTTCCCAACTCTCCTTCAGCTTCTCCTTTTTTCCTTCTCAGCACTTAGTGTGGATCCTGGGGCTGAAACCGGGTGTGGGTGGTGCCCTCAAGCCTGGTCGAGCTGTGGAGGGCCCAAGTACAGTGAGTAATTTTAAGAAACTGTGTGTTGAGCATGCATTGTGCTATGTGCTTTCCCATCTTGTTGTTGAAGGCGATGAGCTGACTGGCTGTGGTTGTGTCTTTAACCTACATAGGTGCTGACCACAGCTGTGATGACAGACCTGCCCGTCATCTCCAACATCCTGTCCAGACTATTTGAGAGCTCCCAGTAAGGACTCGTTATAAAAACTCCAATTACTCAACCCTGTGTCTTTAAATAGTCCAGTAGATGTTTTTTAAAGAAATATATTTTTCTTGTAAAGGTTAATTGGGCTACATTTTCTGCTCAGAGCTAATAATAACCATATGGCATAAACAGCCATTTTTTGTGTCTGTAAATTCAGTAAACCTTTGTTGTTTGCGGAGGAGTTTTTAGGCATAATGAGTGATAAAATATCAAGCTTGAATAATTATACTGTGGTTTGGAAAACAGATGTTCATCTTCATAATTGGACTGACCTGAAGAATAACTCTCTTTCTGTATTGCTGTATGTAAGAGAATAGTGGTTCCTGTAATTGAAACTATTTGTGCTCTGCAAAAATATTCACACATAATATGCAACATGTGTTTTTTTTTTTATGTGATCTAGGTACCTGGATGATGTGTCCCTGCATCACCTGATCAACGCTCTCTGCTCCCTCTCCCTGGAAGCCATGGAAATGGCTTATGGAAACAACAAGGTAAAGACTTTCTGCGTTTTAGGACTTGGAAAGTTGGTGCCTGGACATTTTAGATATGTCATTATGTGGCTTTGGTAACATGTCAAATGTTGGCTAGAAAAAGTCTTTATAAAAATTATACAGGAATTGGATGTTGCCTTGTTTGTCTGTCATATAGATAAAGTTGTACCTGTGTGTTTTCTTGTCTTGGTTTCAGGAGCCATCTCTGTTCGCTGTTGCCAAGCTGCTGGAGACCGGCCTTGTCAACATGGACCGTATAGAGATCCTGTGGAGACCTCTAACCGGCCACTTATTGGAGGTAACGTCTATTTAGAGCTACACCCACATGGTGCAGATAAAGAGCTGCATTCTGTGTCACCACTTTTCATTTGAGCACAGTGAAAGATGAAAGTAGCAGTTCATAAACTTGGCATAATTTTGTCAACCAAGGTCATACAGTTATATCATTTTAGTCACTTAAGAAATGTAATTAATTTCTACAGGTTACACTTTCATCAGACTTTATTTAACCTAGCACAATATGCATTCAAGGTATTTGACCTGTTCAGCTTTTCTCTCCAGCTCCAGTTTGTCTAAAACTGGTTAAAGCAATTGTCACTTTTTCCAGTGCTGATGATCTCATTGAAGATGTCATTGAAAATATTTGGAACCAAACTCTATAATAATAATAATGATAGAAAGCTAGAACTTAAAAGAATGTCAAAATTGCCCCCTTCTACCCTTTTGGTTACGTTACTCAGTACCAAGGCTCTAATAATGGCATTTTTTCCGTGGAGTCTGGAGCACATATGCGCTGTGGTTTAGTCATGATGAGGAAAAATAGTTGAATGAGCTAAAGAAGGGTTGAAAGTTATTAATTAGTACTAAAAAAAAAGATAAACGCACAGTGAAGGACTTAATAATGTTCAATAAGTTGTAGTATATGTGAGATTTCCCTCTTTCCTTTTTGTTCTTGCATGTTGGTTAAACTTCCAAAGCTGTCGCATGTTAATGCTTTGAACATTTTTTTTTTAATTTAGATGGTTGTCATAGCACTATTATTAGCTTCCTTCATATTTAAATGTACGTTATATGGCAGTGGGTCCCATCTGGTCCAGCAACGGGGTCCAGATTTCTTTAGTTTAAGGTCCAAACAGTTTAACATATTAAGCATCATACTTGCATTTGGCTATGCTGTCGAGCTAGTTTGCTGTCTCTGTCTAGTAGTTGTCAGTTAAGGCCCATTTCCACCGCAGGAACTTCGGGGTAATTTTACAGGGCCGGGGCCGTTGGTTCGTGCCAAAGGACAGATTTCCGTAACTTTTACAGGGGCTAAACAAGTCCCTGCCTCGGAGTAGGTACTCAGAACGGCCCTGAGAAACTCCTGGCTGGGGCTTGGGAATTACTTGGTGCTGACTGGATATACTCAAGGCGGGATGTGATGTTTTGTAATTAATAACATGGTTATCGTAGATTAGCTGGGCTAACCATTAGCTGTTAGCGGTGTCTGTAATAACTCAGTACCTCAATAAACGGTCCGTGAAAAAAATCTTTTTTCCAGCGGATACCTTAGTTACAACATGATTGAGCTATCAAAGCAGTTTTGTGTTGCTATGTGTGGTATTTATTCAGTTTTGGGAAATCATGATGTCTAGAAAGCATCAGTGGCTGCAGCTGACAGGGGCAGCTGACAGGGACAGCTAACAGCAGCAGCAAAGCTAACATCAGGACTTCATCTGTTAAAAGCCTCCCGTTGTCGGATACGACATGAAACTACTCCAGTTAGCTCAATCATGTTGTAACTAAGACATCCACTGGGAATTTTTTTTTTTACACAGGCCGGTTATTGAGTTACTGAGTTATTACAGACACCGCTAACGGCTAACAGCTAACTACCTCCCTACGTCGCCCAGGTCAAAATGGTCGCGCAACGATTACGTCACATCCAGAGCCCGGTAACTTTACAGGAACCTTCCTCCTACTCTGCTCTCTCAGTGGAGACACGGCGGTTGAGAGGGCCGGGCGAGAGGACGTTCCTGTAGTAGTTCCTGCCCCCCAAATAGTACCAGGAACTTCTTCAGTAGAAACGGGCCTTTAGTCACTCACTCTACAGCAGGAAATGGCACTTTAAAATAAAAGCTCTGTGCTGAAAATGCACTGTACTTACAAATAAAGTGTTTCTATTACAGATTTGACACATTTGCGAAACACTTGCAGTCCCTCCAGAATGGACCTGCGGCGCACTTTTGGACCACGACCCACCGGTTGGGAACCACTGTCATATGGGATCTTCTCAAATACATTCTAAAGTTGCCTATGCTGCTCTTTTAAAATGAAAGACGACAGTGTGCACACATGCAGCAATAGCCTTGGCTTCATATAGCAGTTACTCTCAGATGTGATTTAAAGCACTTTGGATTAACTACATTGTTTGTACAGTGCTTTATACAGAAGGCAAAACTGCGATAACTTGAGTTCATACTTCACTTTCTGGAGTTATTGGCACCCACGTCCTCATATCTCTGAAAGGATTCTCGTTTTTATGTGTGTAAAGGTGTGTGTTTGGAGGTTTTCTTCATATGTTCTTTGTCTATCTCCCCCTCTCTTTTTGCCCTCCTGTGTGTTTTGCAGAAGGTAAGTTCAGATCTCCTCCTCCGTAATCATTGTCTTTCCCATCTCCTTCCTTTTTTTTCTCCCCACGGTCTGCTCTCTCGCCCTCTCAGTCTGGCATGAACATGTTGGAGTTGAGGGGTTGCTGTGTAAAAAATGTGTCCACAGTGCGTTTGCTCCTGCTACCAGTGTTTGACCTTGCATTGTTGTGTGCAGTTGGCAGTGTGAAGCTCTGATTTGTCACAGAAACAGAATCTGAAGCTGCACCTCCAAAGTTGCTTGGATTACATTCTGCTTAACTTTCTTCGCAGGCTTCAAATTCAAATTTAGAGCTTTTATATGTTAAAGGAAATTTGATAATAGCATCACCTTTATTGTGTTTTTGTTTACAGATGTGTATTATGATAAAGATTAAGATGACAGAAGCTAAATAATTTAATGGATACACATGGACCATCTGGGTTCTGAAGGGATACAGCTATAGTATCTACTTAGCTGTCTCCATTTATGCATCTAAGCAACACAAAGTTTTCTCCTCTTAGAAGTCTCACACCATGAAAGTAAAAAGTTGTTTGACAAACCTCCTCTTAGACGAAAGATAATTAATTTGGGCCACAAGCGAACTCCGAATCTTTAAAGCACAAGACGTGATTTGTATCACGATAGTGTGTTTTTCTCTGCTGAGCCCAGCTTCTTTGTGTGTATCTATCCAAGCTTTCATGATTACACTGTCTGTCACAGCATATCTTGTGATCACAGGGGATCCCAGTCTTTATCACACAGACTGTGGTTAATTTCACCCACTTGTTTCACACCCACCCACTGTGAACACTGCTGGGAAACACTGTTCTGAACAGCCTTCTGCGTCAGATCTGCCGTCGTGCGCATGTGTCTGCATCTGTGTGTGTCTGTGTGATGTGTCCTGCAGGTCTGCCAGCACCCGAACTCTAGGATGAGGGAGTGGGGGGCTGAGGCGTTGACGGCGCTTATCAAGGCTGGACTGGCCTACAAGCATGACCCTCCTCTGGCCCAGAATCAGGTAGCTGACACTACAGATACCTTTGGTTGTATGTATAAAACAGTGTGGAACACAAACTACTACTTTACTCTTAGTCCTCCTCTTTCATATAAATATTGTAGGGAGTCAGGAATATTTTATTAGATGGCTGTATTGTTTGTCTTCTCCGGGTTTCACTCCTTAATATTGTTTGTTTGTAATGCTAACATTTGAGAAATCTCCTCCACTGTTGCAGCGTATGTCACGATAGATAAGAGTGTGTGTGCCAAATGCTTAAAATGTGCAAAACAGAAATGTCACAGACATTTTCTCTTGTCACTCACAAACAGAGAGTCTGTGACCTTCACCTTAGTGAGACAGATAAAGGGAATGGCACGGAGCTTATCTAAAAGAGGGCAGATGAACTGTGTGGAGGTTAATAGAAACAGCACAGAGTCATACAAATGATGGCTGTCCTGTAGAAACGCACAATGCAGCGACTTCCTCAAGGCCGTTCTTGCAGTCGGGGCAAGCTTTTATAATTATGTGTTGTTGTGTTGAAATAATGCAATCAGCCAAACATTTTATGATTTATAATACGAAAAACTGGAAATAGAAATTGGGGTTAAGGTATTTGTTTAAGTGGTACAGAGTCAAGGTTTATTTTCAATCATGCATGCAAACGTTAGAGGACCATTTTGACCTTCAAAACTCATAGTTTTTTTTTTTTCTCAGAAGAAAAGACCAAAATGCCCCAAATGGCTACTGTATGTGCACTTTCATAGCCATAACAATGACCCTCTCAGGCATCTGCATTCATGTTTCCACACTGATTTATTTATTTTATTTTTCCCTTTAGATTGTACATGTCTGTATGTCTGACGTGGGGTTATGCAGTGTGTTAGAACAAATCAAGAAAAAGGCTGCCATGACTCACATTTAACAACTCTGTGAGAAGAAGCCATAAATTATCTGCACTGACTTGCAAATGAGCGAACTCTTAAATCAAAGGTCAGTACATAGACTGTATAAAAATAATGGACGTCAACACCGACACGTCATGCACTGGCTTGTGGACTATTGTTTTGAAGCCTCAAGTTTGACCGTTGCCACATTTGATTAAGATGGTGCGACTGGTCAATCACAAGGTAGCCACGCCCTACATCATACCCTGCTTTATTGTCTGTTTTACTCTAAATGGGAACATAATTTGCACAATGAAGATCATGTTGTTTTGAAGAAGACGTTAAGCTAAAGATTATGACCATAAACTTATGAGGAAAATGTTCACTGATGTAATAAACCAAGTGAGAAGTTGGGTCATTTTCTCATTGACTTACATACAACCAGACTTTTTTTTGCAACCGGTGGAGTCGCCCCCTGCTGGCTATTTGAGAGAATGTGGGTTTAAAGGGATAGTGCACCCAAAAATGGAAATTCAGCCATTATCTACTCACCCATATGCCGAGGGAGGCTCAGGTGAAGTTTTAGAGTCCTCACATCACTTGCGGGGATCCAAGGGGAGAGAGGGTAGCAACACAACTCCACCTAATGCAGGCTGACAGCGCCCCAGATTCAAACGTCCAAAAACACATAATTGAAACCACAAAATATCTCCATACTGCTCGTCCGTAGTGATCCAAGTGTCCTGAAGCCCTGACATAAAAAAGTTGTTTGGAAAAATGTCATTTGAACTCTGTTTTTAGCCTCATTGTAGCCTGCAGCTCTAACAGCCTCTCTTTACACTGCGCTTGCGTGTGTGCGCTTGCGCGAGACCGTGAGACATAGGCACCGCCTTCCTGTGTGTTCACGTGCTTTCGCTGGTCTAAGCCACAAGCGCACACACGTGAGCTCAGTGCACAGAGAGGCAGGTTAGAGCTACAGGCTACAATGAGGCTAAAAAGAGAGTTCAGATGATGTCTTTCCAAACAACTTTTTATGTCGGGGCTTCAGGACACTTGGATCACTACGGACGAGCAGTATGGAGATATTTGTGGTTTCAATTATGTGTTCTTGGACGTTTTAATCTGGGGCGCCATCAGCCTGCATTAGGTGGAGTAGTGTTGCTACCCCCTCTCCCCTGGGATCTCTGTGAGTGTTGTGAGGACTCTCAAACTTCACCAGAGCCTCCCTCAGCATATGGGTGAGTAGATAATGGCTGAATTTTTATTTTTGGGTGCACTATCCCTTTTAAGGCACTCCGCTTTGGCTTCAGTTTTTAAACCCTGAGGCTACATCCACTTCTTTTATACAATCTATGGGTCAGTGTAACAGTCAACCCCAGAAAATCACTACTGACAACTAAGTGACTAACTAAGCGAGTTCAATAAAAATGACTGTAGGTGTATGCACCACACTCAACTGTTCTAAATGTTGAATGTATGAGTTGTATGTATGCACTATGCAGTGCAATAGCAAAATTTCCAAAGTAAGAATTTACTCTAAGCAGATAATTGCCTGTCACCTAACAAATCAGTTACCATCTCCCTCTTCCTGTCCCCAAGCGGCTGCAGCTTCTGTTGCTGAACCCCCTGAAGGAGCTGTCGAACGTGCTGCACGCAGACATCAGGCAGAAACAGCTGGAGAGCGTCCTGCAGATCCTGCAGAGCCAGGGAGACAGCCTGGGGCCCGGCTGGCCCCTCGTCCTGGGTGTCATAGGAGCCATCCGCAATGATCAAGGGTAAGAGCACGAAGGAGGAGGAGATGGACAAAGGAGGCAGGGCTCTACCTGTGCTGAAGTAGTTCATATTATATGTTAAATGCTAACATTTCTTCTGTGAGAGTCACCCTACATTTCTGTTGTAACTACGATTATACAAGCAAGCAAGTCAAGAATCTGCAGTGAACCAGAGCACGCTGTGTGTCTTGTTTCCCTTCAGCGAGTCATTGATCCGAACAGCCTTCCAGTGCCTGCAGTTGGTGGTGACTGACTTCCTGCCCACCATGCCTTGCACGTGCCTCCAGATCGTAGTGGATGTAGCCGGCAGCTTCGGCCTGCAGAACCAAGAGCTCAACATCAGCCTCACCTCCATTGGCCTATTGGTGAAATGACTTGTCTTGTCGTCTTTATTTTTAAGTGTTATGTTAAGATGCATTATATTCTGTAAAATGCTCAGAAAACGTTTTATCAAGTTGGTCTACGGAACTTTGAGAGGCCACAAGTAGAATAGTATGATGTAAGTGGTCAGTATACAGGTGTGCATGTGTGCAACTAAAGGTGAAGCAGCTATACTAACAAAGTTATATAAATTAAAAACAGAAATTAAAGAAACTTCCTGCCTTGTATTAAGTATTATTGAAAAGAAATTTGTTTGTGACAGATCGACAGGTTGGACACTTTTCTTCTCCAGTAGTTTTAAAGCTGAAACACAGTGTGTATAATATGATCAGACAATTATTATATCACATAATTCCTTGTTTTGCATTGTCTTATCTAATTTACCAGCACTTAAGCACTCTACTGACATCTCATAGATACTTTGTACTGCATTCAGGACATGCAAACCCGATATTGATCTGTGGTTTGCAGGATTATTTCTCTTGGAGTGTGGCAGTTCCTGCGAGATTACTTTATGGTAATAGGATAGCTGAACTGCCAGAAGCATTTTACTAACCTTCCTCTCCAATTTGTGCCCGCGCTCTCTACCCCCACTTCCCCTTTTTCCCCACAGTGGAACATTTCGGACTACTTTTTCCAAAGAGGCGAAGCCATCACACAGGAGCTGGAGAGGGAGGAGGAGGCTCTGCAGAAGCAGGCACAGGAGAGAGGAGAGACCCTGAACAGGCCATTCCACCCTGCCCCTCCCTTCGATTGCCTGTGGCTGTGCCTGTACGCCAAGCTGGGCGAACTGTGTGTCGACCCACGGCCTGCTGTGCGCAAAAGCGCCGGGCAAACGTTGTTCTCCACCATCGCTGCCCACGGGACGCTGCTGCAGCAGCCAACATGGCATATTGTGGTCTGGAAGGTAGTAAGCAAGAATGTGTAATTGTCTTTTGATTCAGTTAAACTGGAGGAGGCTGTCATCAGTAATGTTTGTACAAAATATTACTGCAATAAAGGGGCTGAAATACACCTCCCTTTCCTTAGAGATATACTTTGTATTTATTATCTCATTCTAAATGATCATAGACTCTCAGTGGGCTGTCTTTGGAGCTCTTCCTGCTGGTTTAACTATCTTTGTGTCACCACTAGGTACTGTTCCACCTGCTAGACTGTGTGAGGACATCGTCCACCACAGCAGACAAGGAGAAGATTGAGTCTGGTGGTGGGAACATCCTCATTCACCACTCCCGCGACACAGCTGAAAAACAGTGGGCGGAGACGTGGGTGCTGACGCTGGCAGGGGTGGCACGCATTTTCAATACGAGGCGGTATCTCCTGCAGCAGTTAGGTAAGCCTGGCGCAATCTGCTCTGATACTTAAAAGGGTAGTTTAGATTTTTGGAAGTGGAGTTATATGAGGTATTTATCCTTATCCATAGTCAGTTTATTACTAACAGTCCAGGTCAGTCTTCGAAGAAGCAGGCAGGTGTACCAACACGGAAGCTAAGCAATGTACTGCAGTGGACGGGGGCAGCAGCAAAATGTATTCAGTCTATATCAGTTTAAGTGTATGCTATATTTGGAATATTTTCACTACCTTACAATGCCATCAGACTGCTCCTCTTGACATAGTCTCGCCACCAGACAATCAGAGATCTCCGCCTTCTGATAGTCTGGGGACACTCCTTTCTAAAGTGTGTTTAACACACCGGCGAAAACGGCCGGCAACAAAGCAACGCCTCTTGCATTTTTGAAAAGGACACGCCTTCCCGGAAATGTGCGCGCCCGCTTTTCTCGTGCGCAAGGACACAAACACACAGAGAGCTTGAAAATGGATGCTGAGAGATTTAACTCCGTTTTATCAAATGTGTGCTCATCCGTGAAAAAAATATTTTTTTCCAGCAGATGTCTTAGTTACAACATGATTGAGCTAACTGGAGTAGTTTCATGTCGTATCCAACAACGGGAGGCTTTTAACAGATGACGTCCTGATGTTAGCTTTGCTGCTGCTGTTAGCTGTCCCTGTCAGCTGCAGTCTGATGCTTTCTAGACATCGTGATTTCCCAAAACTGAATAAATACCACACATAACAACACAAAACTGCTTTGCTAGCTCAATCATGTTGTAACTAAGATATCTGCTGGAAAAATATTTTTTTTCCAGATCGTTTATTGAGTTACTGAGTTATTACAGACACCGCTAACGGCTAACGTTAACAGCTAACGGTTAGCCCAGCTAAACTTGCACACAGAAATAGCAGTGTTTGTTCAGTCATTGTGTTTACAGACTTTACAA